AATTGGTAGCAGGTAGGTAGTGGTGAATGTTCAATCCTTTTTTTTGTGTGTGTGTGTGTGTGTAAACGTTTAGAGAATGTTCATGTATGAATGTGTGGATCACACACACATACCACACCACACCATTTAATATGATAACTGAAAGTGACTGGTCAAAATTGGATTGGATTTTTTTTTTATATTGTGTGTGGCCAAGGTAGGATAGGGTGGTGGCTATCCGTTCATATTGATCAACCATTTCTGTATATAATAAATAGGGCAATAATAAAGGATTATATTTCCATTGGAACACTCGTACATACATGATGATGATGATGATAGATCCATATATATTCGTTTTATTTTCTGGTATGTGAAATTGTTGCAGTATCTGGTTAGTTAGTTGGTTGTCACAACTGTCAACACACACACTGCACGAACAAACATGAAATATTCAAATCAATTGTCAATTGGTTGTTTCCTCTATTTTTTTGTTGTTGTTGTTGGTTTTCTATACAATCAAAAATGTTGATTATGATCACGACAACACGACAAAAACGACAAAAAAAACGACCAGAAACAACCAGATGAATAAATTCATAATGAGCTATAGCTACACATAATGAATTTTTGGTTAGGTATAAAAAAAAAAATTTTTTTTTTGGTTTTCTAGCTTCAAGAATTTTTAGTTACTTTTGGTTGTATTTGTTTACATTTTTTTTCTTTACCATTCAATATAATCACTAAAACGTCCGTTTTATTTTCCACTTTTTTTTCTCGTTATGCGCAGTTCATATTTCGTGAAGAAAAAAAAAATAAATAAATGAAAACAAAACAATGGCAAGTGAAAATGAGTGAATGAAATGTGCCACTATTTTTGAATCTTTTTTTTATCATAATCAGATTCTATATAGTCATTGATACCATGACATTTTTTTTTTTTTGGTCTGGCTATATACATGATGGTCTACATTTCAAGTTCTGCGATACATGCGTAGATTGACAATGCACACCCACACACACACACAATGTTTTAGAATAACGGTATATTCAGAATGATGATGAACAATGGAAAATGAAAAATTTCTTCACACACACACACACACACAAACACATAGCAACAAAAAAAAAAAATCAACCCAGACATGATCAAATGACGTAAATGAAACGAATGGAGAGGAATGGAATGGAATGGAAAATTAATTGCAAACACAGAAAAAGAGAAAAAAGAATGAAAAAAACCAGAACAATATGGAAAATTGGATTGAAAAATTATTCAAGAGAAAAAAATAATAATAAAAGAAATTGTAAAATGATGAAAGAATATTTACGTTTTTTGTTTTGTTTTGTTTTGGAATAATGAGAATATATTCTGAACCAGCAAAATATATATTCAACAGGTTGAAAATAGAATTTTAGCGGTTTAATCATAGAGATCGGATGATGTTGGATTCATTTGAATAATCATGATGATGGAAATAAATGATATGATCATTTATTTTTTTTTTTTTTTCGTTAGTCGCTGTCGTGTTGTTTATTTTCAACCTGTTGTCAAAATGATCTTGGATTTTGATAAATATAAACAGATATAAATATAAATTTAACAGACAAATGTTGACACTTGACGTATGTACGTTGTGTGATGTGAAATTTGAAATGAAATGAAAAAAAAATTTCAATTTTCTGTCATTGTCATCATCATCATCATAATCATTGTCGCAAAAGATCATTATCCTCCGCATCATCATTCGTCATTTAGTTCAATGTACGTTTCCGATTCTTTTCCGAAAAAAAAAGAAAAAACAACAACAACAACAACAAAAAACAACAAGGAAAATTGTTCAATCATGTTTTTTTTCGTTGAATTTGTCAGCAAGAAAAAAATTTTTTTTTTCTTTTCTTATGATCGATAGAGAATCTAAAAAAAAAAATTCAATTTGGATGCCATCGACCTCCACATTCACCATAGTAGTAGTTTGCTAATTTCCGTCCATTTGAATTGATTTTGTTTTTCATAATGAATCCGTAGCTTTTTGTTTTTCTTTGTTTCTTATTATTATTATTGATCATCAATCAATCAGAATTTAATTGAATGAATCATCGTTTCCAGACACACACACACACACACAGACACACACACATCCACAATCCGACTTCCGATGGAATCGTTCGGAGAAAAAAAAATCAATTTCCTGTTGTCATTTATCATGAACCAAAGGAAATTCTATAGAACACAAACAAACACACACACACACACGATTCTCTCTTACTATACGACATCCATAAATCATTTTTTCATTATAACTCGATTGTCGCCATGATCATGATGACGATGGTCATTTGTTCAAATTCAAATCGATAACAAGAAAAAAAATGAATATGAAAAAAAAAGATTGTCTATCAATTGTCAATTGTCATTGCTCCCAAGCATTTGCCATTCATTTTTTTTTCGAACCAGAATCATCATCATAAAAAATATTCACATTCGGTACCAGGTAAAAAAAAGAAAATTTTCCTCACAGAAAAAAAAAGAATGATTCATAGGAAATGTGTGTGTGTGTGTGTGTGTGGAGGAAAATGTTTTTTTTGTTATACTTGAATTGTTCTCTGAATTTCAGTTGTTGTTGTTGTTGTTGTTATGGTTGTTGTTGTCGAGGAAAAAATTCATATTTCATTTCCTTCTCCATTTAATGATGATTCATCATCACAATCAATCAAAAATCATTGAAATTAATGGTCTCTGTATTTATTTCCATCATTTTGTCAATGATGATAATTTGAATTACCGAAAAAAAACCAATGAAAAAAAAAATTTTTTTTTCCCCATTCACCCATTCCTTTTCCACATTGACAATGGATCAGTCGTCAACAACAAAGGGTCATTTACATTGTTGAGATGATTGTTTGTTTGTTTGTTTGATGATTTCAACAATAATGATCAAACTTGGATCTTGAAAAAAAAGCCACAAAATGAATGATTTTTTTTTCTTGTTTCATTGTTTGTTGTTTTTTTGGAAATTTGAAACCAAAAATCGATATTGTTTTTTTTACAATGAAAAAAAAACAATATCGATTGCACACAATGCACTAAGAAAATCAATCAGTGGAATGATTGGAATATGAATACAGATGGAACGCTTTTTTAAAATAAATTTTTTTTCATTCATTCATTCATCAAGTACAAGTACACAGTGCATATATATACTTGCGTTTTAATTGATGACGTACAAAACAAAAAAAAAAATTATGTAAAATGGATTGAAAATGACCGTGAGAAATAATTTTATTGATCATTGATTGATTGATTGATTTTTTGCACCAGAAATGATTATTATATGATGATAAATGTGTAACATTAAAAATGGCAAATGTTTGTTGGTTTTTTCACACACACACACACACACACACTCACGCACAAAAATCTTTCTTCTTATCATCGTCATCATCATCATCTGATTTGGTGATGCCGTTCGAATGGAAAATATTCAACTGGTTATGAAAACATGAAATCAAGAATTTTTACTGGAATTAATTATCAGCCATCGCATACACACACACACACACACACACACACACACACACGACAACAGCAACAACCTGTGGATGGATGGCCTTAACTTGATGTACAAAAAATTAAAAAATTATAATTTTTGTCACTATAGTAAATCACAAATTCGCATAAATAAATCGAGGAAATTGAAATCTTATCATTTTAAAGAGAAAAAAAAATCTTTTTCTCCGTTATCACAATCTTGTATCTTGTTCTCTTCATTCAATTCTACTTAGAATTTGTTGTTGCTGTTTGTTTCATTCCATTCCATGAATTTATGTATGATGTTTGTAGTGTGTACATTTATGTGGATAATAATTAGTGTACTTGTATTGTATGAATTTCATGTTGAAATTCAAATGAAAAATTTTTTTACATTCACTGATAAGAATGATGCACACACACACACACACACATTCAAGTATGCAAAGGTGTTGAATTTCAATTTGAAATGGTGAAAATTAAACAAATTTGACAACATAAAAATGCGATGATTGATTTTTTTCTGGAAAAAAAAAAAATTATAAAAAAAATTCAAAACAAATCACACACTGACACGCACACACACACACACACTTGAATGACGTGCGATGTGTTTGAAATACGCGTGGTTGAAATTAAAAAAAAAATGTGAATGAAATGAAAAATTGAATAAATTTTCAGCCATTTTTTTTCTCTGGTTCTTTAACATGCATGTAAATTTTTTTTTCTGTTATTTGGTTTTTCAATCTTCTTGATGATGATGATGATCAATTGAAACTTTAAATTTTCATCAGCCTAACGACACCATCTGTCGTCGGTGGAAGAATTAATGATTGAATGTTTCAAAATTGCAAAAAAAAAAAAAAAAATATTTTATTCCACTATTAGATGGTTTTCTTTTGCTTTGCATCTGTATCATATGATCCCAGTCGATACTTGTTGTTGTTGTTCAGTTTTCTCATGTTGTATTTTTGTCAGATATATATATGGGTTATTGTTCGCCAAAATCTGTAACGTTTATATATATGTGTATATATGTGTTGCAAACTCAAATAATATTGACGATTATAAATGTATATAATAAAAACTAAATGCGTGCGATGATGAATATAAAATCAATTTGAATAATAATAATACTATATTTGTGTCCGCGCGTGTGTGTGTGTATGGATGGGTGGGTGGATGGATGAGTTCATAGGTGAAAATTTAAATGCAATGAATTTGAATTAAAATGCGGCACAATTGTGATTTCAAGATGATAATGATGATGATGATTATGGTGGGTGGGTATGTTATTCATTTGTGTTTCACAGAAAAAAAATCAATAATGTCCATTGGCTGTTTTTGTTTTTGTATTAATCGATATATCATTTGTTTTTGTTGTTGTTGATGATGTTTTCGATTTACATATACTATTATTATTATTATCATCATTTGTTTTTGAATTTTCTTGACCATTATTAATGTTGTTCACATTGCCATCATTAATCATAGGTTTCATTTCAATTTGACCATTATCTTTGTTGTTGTTGTTGTTTTTGGTGATGATAATATATTATTTGAATTACGTAATAATTCACTATATTTACGTCGTGATTTTCTACCAGTTGGACAATCACCATTACCGGTTCCATTCATTTTTGTTAAATTATTTTCATTTACAGATTCATCACTGGATGAAATTGATCCACGATGACCACCGGAAGAAAGTTGACGAACACCGCCGATACATATTCGGCTTGGTGATTCCAAACGACGAGATAATTCAAACATTGAATATTCTGGATCATTAGTCACTTCACGTACAATATCCAAAAATGGTGGCAATTTAGCTTTAAGCGCTTGACCACTTATTGTTGTATAAGCTTCCAATAGGATTAGACCATTACGTGGAGCCTGATAAATGTCCATTTGGAAATAGGTTTGCTGCCAAAGAAAACAACGACGAGTTTTATATATAGTATGATGATTATCATCTCGCTGTGCCAATAATGTCTATATAATGATAAATAATGAAAATTAATTTATATAATCAAACAGACACACTAACTGACATACCACATAATCACGATGAGTGATCTGTCTACGTAATTCAACCATCTGTGATCCGGCATCAGATCGTCGAACCGTTTGCTGATAGCTCCAATTACCGTTTTGGCCACGTTTCCGTATACGTGATTGAATCTTTGGATTCGATGTAATTAAATAATCATGTACAACATCAAAATCTTGATACGGTGGCATTGACATTGATGATGTTGATGGTGGTGGTCCATTGACCAGAAATTTAATTTTATGTGATTCATCCTGTAGACGATCACTTGCTTCAATTCCTACACGACGACATAAAGCCTAAAACGTTGGATCATGTTTAAAACATAAGGCAAAATAATTGAAATCTAAACACAATATACCGAAATTAATCGCCTCATTTTCGTATCAAAATCCGTAGAATTATCAATAACATCCATATATGGATGGCCAACCCAGGCTTCCATAGTTTTTCGATCTAATTCTCTAGCCAATTCGAGGCCTTCAGTACGTACAGGATTGCCTTCAATGTTATAATATTCTTCAGCACCATCAGCTGATGTAACCAAATGGACAACCTGATTATAACGATTATCACGTAGATCGACAGTATTCCATTTGTTTGCACGTAAAAACCGTTGCCAACATTCATCGGACATGTCTGTTTATTGTGAAAAAAAGAAAAATTTTAATAAATAAAAAAAAAATTCACAAGATACATACATGCTGTAGCATCCATAACACCACGATCACAAATAATCAAACAATTACGATTACAACTCTGTGCTAATGTAAAAAATGTTCTTTCAATAGAAATCATGACTTTGATAAGATTTTCTTGGAATTTATCCGCTGTAAACAAAAAAAAAATTCATGAAATCAAAAATCAAAAATGAATTACGTTCTACATACCTTCATCTTTATTTAATTCAGGAAAACGAATACCACCACTGTGTTTGTTTGTTATTTTCATTGAAAAAAATTGATCAAACAAAAACAACGAACAACAACAACAAAAAATCAATTAACTTCAAAACACAAACATCCAAAATAAATAAATAAATGATGATAATTACCTAAACAAAGTGGTAGCTGTTTCTGGTACACGATATACCTATGAAAAAAAAACAGAGAATAAATTATTGAATAACAATCAGAAACAAACAAACAAACAAACAAACGAAAAAGAAAATGAAATTTGACATTGAAAAAACAATCAAATTCCAATGAAAATTGTGTAACTTGATATAAAATAAATTTCCAAATGTCATTTTGGGATAAATGACAGAAAAAATTCCAATTTAAATGTTGCGTGATTAATCATATAATAATAATAATAATAATCAAGAGAGAGAGAAAAAAAATCATCAGAATTTGGAATCGATTATCATCAAATGACTAAAATGATAAATGCAATGTAATTTACTTTTGTGTGTTTGTGTGTATTCGAACCTAATTCTGTATTATATACTTATCGTTTATCTATCAAAGTCAATGATCGTCGAGTTTTTTTGCTCATAAATATCATCATCATCATACACATACATCTATCTCGAATTTTGGAAATTTTTTAATGCAAAAAATCCAAGGTCGACTAGGTAGATGAACAACAACGAAAAAAAAAACTAATTCGAAACATTTATAAATTATATCACATTTTTTTTCAATGCCTAGCAACAACAGATGATGAGAAACAAAAAATTCAAAAAACAAACATGACTAAATCTGGTAAAATTCAAAAAAAAAAAACAAATATTCAAAATCACAATTACCTTCCAGCCAAGATTTTCAAAAAATGTCGATATTCTTGCCTGGCCAGTTGTTTTACCACTACACGGACCTGGAATAATAATTGATAGGGTCAATTTTTTTTTGTTTGTTTGAATATAAGAAAAAAAAAAACTTACCACCAGTCAATGCTAATCGATAGACAATATGATCAGAATTCGGGTGATCATTTTGATTAACATTATAACCACCACCACCACCACCATTCATTGTAATTGGATTGATCATTGACAATGGTGGTGGTGATGGCGATGGTGATGATGTTTGCAATGGATCCAACATTAATGATTCAATACGTCCATTACCATCGGTAGTTGGATTACCTTCCATTGGATTTGAATTAAAATTCATCGTTAATCGATTTTGTTTCATTGGTATATCAATTTTTCTGGTCATTCTATTATTATTTGATTGTTGATGATTTTTGTTGTTCATAATCAATGATGTTTGTGACGACGACGACGACGATGATGATGATGGTGATGATGAATTATTAGTATCAATAAAATTGTTATTCATTTAAAAAGGTGAGCATGTGTTTGTGTACAAAAGAACGAAAAAAAAACCAGAAATAACAAACAAAATCTAGATAATTCAAGTGCACTCACACACACACACACACAAAAATACTGATTGATCTATACCGCTATTATTTTTTTGACAATTATTATCGATTCGTGTGTGTATGTTGAAATGCGGAAAAAAATAGTGAAAACAAAAACAACAACAACAACAACAACAATGATAAGAAAACAATTTTTATTTGTTTTTTATATAATGCAAAAATATTTATAATCGACCAACAGACAGACAGACAGACAGATAGACAGATGAACAGACAGGAAATCAATAAAAAAAAAATGGATTGATTGATGTTAAGATGAAAAAAAAATCAAACATATTTGATGCATGCAAAATTCTTTTCTATTTTTGTTTTTGTTGTTGTTGTTGTTGTTATTGTTATTAATGATCAATGTGGTTAATGTGGAGATGGATATATCGATCTGTGTATGTTTATTATTCATTGAGGTACTTGTAATGATAAAATATTTAGGCACTTTTCAAAAGTGTTAAAAAATTTTTGTGTCTTTGTGTTTGAGTGGTTGTGTGTTGTATGGTGGTGTGTGTGGTGTGTGTATGTTTGTTGTGTTGTGGTGTTGATTTTTTGGTTTGTCTTACTTTTTTTAACTTTTTTTTTCATTTCTTTCAATGATGATGATATTGATAATATTGTAACAAAAAAAATGGTTATTTTGACAATCGAAAAAATTTTTTTTTTTTTTTTTTTGAATCTATAAATTGCCCAATAATAGTGATTTCGATGGATAATAAGCTCTTTTTTTTCAGCGATTCATTTGCAGATTAGATTAGATTAGATGATGATGATGATACGTGGTTGCATGAGAAACATTCTGTGTAGTGAATAATAATAAAAAATTTCATTTCATATATGTCTGACATCAATGTGAATGGAATGTGATAAAATTTATCCAAATTAAAAATGAATGTGGCGCACAAGAAAACATAAAATAAACATCATCACATCATTATCAAAATTTAATCTGTGAGTTTTTTTTCCAATACGACACACACACACACACACAAACATGAAAGTGAATATAATTTTCTAATGATGAAAATCATTCACTTTCATTTCAATTCATGTCTGGCTAACAACCGGGCTTTATACTAAATTTTTTTTTTTTTTAGTACATGATCATCATCATGTACCATCATAATCACAGCCACCATTAATTCAATGATGAACATTTTTTTTTCAATGATGATGATGAAATGAAATTCATTTTGATTTGTGAAAAAAAAAAAACAGTGTGCTTTATAGCAATGACAGAAAAAAAAAGAGATCTGAACATACTTGCCTGATATTTCAGATGATGATGATGATTAGATGTTATTTTGGATCATAATGATGATGTTGATGATGATGATGACGATGACGTAGATTCATGATGGAATTTTTATTTCCATTGATGACAGAAAAGCTGTCTGGAAAAAATTTTAAAAAAAAAATTCACAAATTATAAAATTAAAAAATAAAAATCAAAATCAAAATCAAAAATCAAAGTTCATCATCATCGATTGTCGCATCATTATGGATTGATTAATAATCTGTACAATAAATGTACACATTTTAAAATGTTTTTTAATGAATCAACCGGAATGATTTGGCCGTTGTTGTTGTTGTTTTCAATGAAGGTATATGAATGTTGTAGTTGGATATATATAGAAAAAAAAATTCAAGCATGTTTAATCTCGCCTGTATCAGTATCAGTATGATGATGATGGTTTGAGAATTCAATAACCGGATAGAGTCGGCGCTATCGATGATGATGATCATCATCATTTATTCAACTCCTGGACAATAAATAACTACAACAACAACCGCCATAATCATCATCATCATCAAACAAACAAACAAACATTATCATTAACCATATCAACCAGACTTTTATTATTATTTTTTTTTCTTCAAAAGGAACCATTGCCAAGGAGAAAAAAAATGGAATCATGCCTTTTGATGATACAATCATCATATAGACGATTCCTGATAAATAAAGAAATATAAAAATATCAAACATATCTCTTGGTGGTTCATTATACTATGCTTTATATATATAAACTCAAGAAGAAATAAATAGCATCCTATATATAGCAGAATCTATTCTCTATATAGAATCGGCAAAATAAATGTAAAAATGATGATGAATGGCAAATAGAATATAAAAAACTACACACACTATAACGCCATCTATCGTCTGAAAGTGAAAAGTGCGACAAACTCTTTTAATTAAAAACATCCGGCAGTTTCATTCAGAATATTTCAATCAAAACAAAACAAAAAAAAAAATCATGACTAATCAATTGTTGCTGAATGGATACAATTAGAATTGAAAAAAAAATGAAAACATGATGACGAAATAGCTCAAATTTCCATTCAAACAAAAAAAATTGTCCTTTTACAACACAGAAAAAGATTAAAAAACGTTCATTGTATATCGTTCATTGTCTGAATAATAAATTCTAAATTTAGCTTCATTACCAAAAAAAAAAAAATTAAGAATCCTCGAGGCAAAAATCCTTCGCATGCTGCTGCTGTCGCTGCCATTTGAAATGTCTGACATTTTGAATATCTAAATTTAAAAGAAAAAAAAATTCTTTGTTTTTGTTATCAGTTATCCATAAATCCATCGCACAACGATAATAGACAAGGAACATGTCAAGGTTCGAATTCATGGCAAAAAAAAAAGATTTTCATCATGTAAAGAGGAGGAGATAGGAAAAAAATGTCATCATCATCATCATCATTTTAGATATCTTTTCAAGGTTTTTTTTTCTCGTCTATTCTATTGGTAGAAAACAAAAATGATATTCACACACAAAAGGGTTGTGTAACGTTTGTGGGCTGAATTTGATACATCCATTTAAAAAACAAAACAAACAAACAATGTCGCAAATCGGATAAATGTACTAATGGAATGAAATGATGTCAGAAAATGATGGTACATTGTGTGTACTTACCATATATATCTTTTTTATCTTTGTTTTGTTGATTTGTAAAAAAAAAATTTCCACCTACCACCACCACCATAACAATTATAATGGATAACATAAAATCCGTTTATTGAATCATCAAAATATCATATTTTTCTTCTTTTCTTTCTTTCTATAGACACACGACAAAACATCACTACATATACACACAAACACAAATCTAACAATAACTAAATGATTGATAAATATAGAAAAAAAATCATAATAAACAAAATTGAAACGTTTGATAGATTAACTTATAATAATGTTGTTGATCATGATCATGATCATGATAATGATCATCAAAACATTTATGATTAATGATGATAAAATAATTATCACACACTGATAATAACATTGTTGCTACTGCTGCTGATGATGATGATAATCTGGTTTTTATTTTTTGGCGCAATATTAATCAAAATCAATCAACAGTAATCGATCAATTATTCAAATTTAAACTAAAAAAAAAACAGATGCTGTTGTTAGAATTTTTGTTTGTTTGTTTGTCGAGTTTTAATCACAAAAGATAAAGATTTCATTAATAATGTGATGATAAAAACTTTTTGTGAATAAAATTCAGATCACAATTTTAACAACAACAACAACAACAACAACAATAACGGATGTTGAGAATCCATACCGAACAAGATTTTTATTTTTCGGCGTGTATTTCGTTCGTACACATGTAATTCGATTGCTAGGATCCAAATTCCCATAAACACACACGATTATCATTTTTTCGTGCCACTTCTTCATGAATACAGGTGTATTGGGAGTTTTACTATCACAAAAAAAAGAATAAACGTAAACATTTCCATTTGCTACTTCTACATTTTTTTTTTAGTAGTAGTCATATTCTCAAGTAGAACAATAAAAAACCTATGCTACTACTTTTAGAATATATACTACTACTACTTTTCACTGATCAAATGGGGAAAAAAAAAAAAAAAAACATGCATGTTGTTCGTCGTCACTCTCTCTTTCTCTCTTGTTGTTGTTGTGTGTGTGTCTGTGTATCATCTTTCATTCATGCATGTGATGAAAAAAAAAAAAAAAAAAATACCACCATACAAATCAAATAACATACACACACACACAGTGATTATTAAACAGCGTGTTCTTTCATCATCATTTATTCCTCATCCTGATCATTTTTATCATTCATTTTTGGATCGAATCCAACAACAATAAAAAAAAAAAATTCGATCCAATTCTCTTTTCGATTTGTCCATTCCAAATATTTTTTTTTTCTCTCACCAGATTTCCTCGTTTATTTACTGTGTGTCAGTCTATAATATTTCGATTTTGTCTTCTAAAATCATATCGAATGTTTTGTATGATTTCGAAAAGTTTTTCAAACAAAAATCTTACAATCCTATTACATCATCATTCATCTATTGAATTTTCATTCTTGTTTGGTGTTCCAATCGGATTGAATTATCATGATGAATGACAATGTTCATAATGATGTTGTTGATGATAATGTTCAATCAATGACAACAACTCATCATCATCGATGACAACAACGACAACACTGACGACTGATATTCTTTCTGCCGCTTTAGATGAATGTGGTCTTGGTGATTTTTTTGCAAATCCGGTATGTTTTGTTTTTCGTTTTTTCAATTATTTTAATTAAAAATTTTTTTTTCTGTGTACAGATTGTTCATGATGATCTAACAAATTCATTACCGAATTCACCTGGTGATCATAATACAATCATTGCCAATAATAATACGGTGATAGTCGATAATAATAATGTTGGCCATTATCAATGGCAACAATCATCATCATTGGTTGATGAACAATTATTGTCATCAAACACAGCTGTGTCATCATCATCATCATCTGATCATTCCGAATTTAATAATCAACAACAAATTTCAACATCATCATTTGATTCACAACAACAATCCATTATTTGTACCAATAATCAAATACCAACAACTAATAATACAAAAGCAACCATCATTCCTATTAATGCTATAAATACAGCAATAAATGGTCAACAACAACCATTACTTGTAAAGGTTTTTTATTAAATTTTCAATAAATTTCCATTTCCATCAATATTAATTTTGCATTTTTTTTTCTCACACCATTAAAATCTAGAAAATTCAACGATATGTTTTAACTAAAAATAATGCTCAACAACCACGTTTGATGGTAGCTACATCATCATCATCAGCAACTAATACTGCTGCTATTCAGAATTCAAATAATGTCCATATGATGAATCGTTCGATGACGGCTGTACAAAATTCAAAATTATTAATTACATCACAACAACAACAACAACAGCAGCAGCAGCATCTATCACAGACAACGAATATGATATTGAATGATATAAGTAATCAAAAAAAATTGACCATTTCACCAAATGTTAATGGTACAATTAAAATTAATGTCACTACATCATCACAACCATCACCATCATCGACTACTACGACAACGACTGCATTGTTAACAGGATACAATAAACAACAACCAACACAAGTGATTCAATTATCAAATTCCCAACCTGCTGGTATACGTATAGTAAATCGAATAATTCCACAACGACAACCATCACAACAACAACAACAACAACAATCTCATTTAATACGATTACCAGGCACACAAAATGTGATACGAATCCAAGTAAAATCACCACCAAATACTGCACAGCAACAAATGATGAATCAACGACCGACATTAATTCGTCCACAAATTGTGATACCAACAACAGCCATATCAACATCATCATCATCATCATCAATGTCGGTTATGACGAATGGAATAAATAATAGCAATCAAATGAGAACATCACAGAATCGAATCAATATACAATCATCAAATATTATCCGATTTCAACAACAAACAAATGGATCAACAAATTTCATTTCAGATATGAATAGTAATCCATCTACACCGAAAACACCATTAACGCCATCGAAATCATTTTCATCATCATCATCATTCGAAAGTAAAGATGATGATCAATTGGAAAAAGATATAAGACTTAGTGAAGAAATGCGAAGATTACTTGAAGATAATGAAGAAGAATTAGCTAATCTGGAAACATTTGCAGATTATATGCCCACTAAATTGAAAATCGGACTTCGACATCCAGATCAAGTGGTTGAAACAAGTTCATTAGCATCAATTCCACCACCAGATGTATATTATCAGCTTATGATTCCAGATGAAGTTATTGATGATGGCCGTTTATCTGCATTACAATTAGAATCGATAATCTATGCTTCACAACAGCATGAAAATTTTCTTCGTGATGGATCACGTTCCGGTTTCTTGATTGGTGATGGTGCCGGTGTTGGTAAAGGTCGTACAGTAGCCGGTATAATATATGAAAATTATCTACGTGGACGAAAACGTGCCTTATGGTTTTCGGTATCGACCGATCTCAAATATGATGCTGAACGTGATTTACATGATATTGGCGCTAGCCGTATCGAAGTTCATTTGCTCAACAAATTTAAATACGGCATCAAGATACATTCACCGGATAATGATAATGTTAAACGTGGTGTGATATTCTCTACTTATCATTCATTAATTGGTGAATCAACTAGTATAAGTGGAAGATTTTCTACTCGATTCCAACAGGTGTTACAATGGTGTGGTGAAGATTTTGATGGTGTAATCATTTTTGATGAATGTCATAAAGCAAAAAATCTATTTCCAAGCGGTACAACCCGTGCGACAAAAACTGGACAAGCTGTATTGGATCTACAACGATGTCTTCCAAAAGCACGTGTTGTATATGCCAGTGCAACGGGTGCAACTGAACCAAAAAATATGGGCTACATGACTCGTCTAGGTATATGGGGACCTGGTACACCATTTGAAGATTTTAATCAATTTGTTGCTATGGTTGAAAAACGAGGTGTTGGTGCAATGGAATTGGTGGCCATTGATTTGAAAATGCGTGGCATGTATATGGCCCGGCAATTATCATTTAAAGGTGTTCAATTTCGTATTGAACATGTACCATTATCACGTGAATTCATTCGTATATATAATTGTTGTTGTCGATTATGGGTGTCGGCAAAAACAAAATTTGAAAAAGCATTAGAATTGATGGAAGCCGATCCACAAGTGAGCAAAGCAATTTGGACACAATTTTGGGCATCACATCAAAGATTTTTTAAATATCTTTGTATTGCATCCAAAGTTAAATTTGCCGTTGCATTCGTTAAAGAATCATTACGTTGTGATAAATCTGTTGTTATTGGCCTGCAATCCACTGGTGAAGCACGTACATTAGAACAATTGGAAGATAATGGTGGTGAATTGAATGATTTTGTATCGACAGCTAAATCAGTGTTTCAATCATTGGTGGAACGACATTTTCCAGCGCCTAATCGTAAAAAATTGGCCAAACTATTAGGACGTGATACAAGTTTTTTTGATGATTTAGGTATCAAATTAAAACGTGATGCAAATGATGAAATAATTGCATCAATCAGTGATGATGATGATGAAATGATGGGCAAAGTTAAACGGCCAAGTGGCCATAAATTTTTTGATAGTGATGATGATGAAGATGATGATTTTGTTGAAGTTCCAGATGATGAAGATGATGATGATGACGATGACGATAAATCAGATGATAGTGATATTGATTTTGATGAAATTGATGATATTATGGATGAAAAACTTGGCCTAAAACCTGGTGGTAAACCAAGTGCATCATTAAAATTTATGGATATTTTATTGGGACCATCATCATCATCATCTTCTATGGCAACAACCAATGGTCGGAAACGAAAACGTAAAGCATTATCTAGACAACGACAGAAACGTATTCGTATGCAGCAACAAAATAAACGACGACAACAACAGCAACAATCAAAAAAATCATTGAAGAAAAAATATGAAAAATATTATAATGATTTCAATAATGTTGGTTCCGATATTGGTGGTTATTGTGAAATGTTGAAAAATGAGCTGCTTGAACAATTGGAATCATTTGGTGAACGGTTACCACCGAATACATTGGATGAATTAATCGATGAATTAGGCGGCCCGGAACAGGTAGCCGAAATGACTGGCCGTAAAGGACGTATTGTCAGCACCCAAGATGGACAAGTACAATATGAGGCAAGAAGTGAAAATGATGTTTCATTGGAAATGTTGAATCTAGTGGAAAAACAAAGATTTATGGATGATGAAAAACGTGTGGCCATTATATCGGAAGCGGCAAGTTCCGGAATATCATTACATGCTGATCGTCGTGCACGTAATCGTTGTCGTCGTGTTCATCTAACTGTTGAACTTCCATGGTCGGCTGATCGTGCCATACAACAATTTGGTCGTACACATCGATCGAATCAGGTTTCAGCACCGGAATATGTGTTTCTAATTTCAAAGCTGGCCGGTGAAAAACGTTTTGCATCAATTGTAGCGAAACGTTTGGAAAGTTTAGGCGCACTCACTCATGGTGATCGTCGTGCCACAGAATCAAGAGATTTATCACAATTTAATATTGACACAAAATATGGCCGTCAAGCATTAGAATTTGTAATGAAATCCATACAAGGTAGTAGTGGTATAAAACCATTGGTTTCACCACCAGAAAATTATTCAAGTGATGATTTTTTCGAAGATTGTCGCGTCGGTTTGGCCGGTGTTGGCCTGTTGACTATTGATCGTAAAACTGGTGCCATTACATTGGACAAAGGTTTGTGATGGAAAAAAATTATCATCGTGTGAATTTATTATTTTTCTGTCTATTTTCCAGATTATGCCAATATAAATAAATTTCTAAATCGAATACTTGGTCTTGAAGTTGAATTACAAAATTCACTTTTCCGTTATTTCAATGATACAATGGATGCCGTGATCAAAGGAGCAAAACGTAGTGGCCGTTATGATTCCGGTATCATTGGTATGTGTCACACATTTAGTGTCGTTATGATCATCCAATTAATTAATTTTTTTTTTTCGTTAATGTAGATCTAAGCAATGAAGTGGGAAATGTACGAAAATTAGATTTGGAAAATTTCATTCTAAAATCATCATCAAGAGCGGTCAAGATTCAATTGCATACCGTTTCAGTGGATCGTGGTATATCATTTGAACGTGCCGATAATTTACGTAAACAGGCATTTGATGAAGAAACTTATTTTAAAGATGAAATTGGATATTATGTTTCAAATTCGGTTTGTTGAATTTTTTTTTGAAAATGGTTTCGAATCTAATTTTTCTATATTCCATGTTTATTATTAGACATATCAGATTCGTAAGACAATATTTTTGGCCATACCCGAAGAGAATCCGCAGAAAAATAAAGACATGAAACAGATTTTTCGTATTTATAAACCATCGCTTGGTCTACAGGCTAAATATGAAACAAAAAATACATTAAAAGAACGTGGACAAAAATTAAACGATATGGAACAGGTGGCCAAATTGTGGAATGAACATTATGAAAAATCTGTTGATGAATGTACACATTTATTATTGTTTGGCCGTTGTCGTGCATCGATGATGGTAACAAAATCATCATCATCAACAGTAAAAACAACAAGTGGTTGTGATGTTGGTATTCGTAAACGTAATTATTGTGTATTATCCGGTGCTGTTATGACCGTTTGGCCTGAAATTGAAAAAGCTATACCACAAATTCTTAATCATAAGCTACAGGTTGTTCGATTAAAAACTGAAGACAATCTTAAATATATTGGTAAGTTTGTTGTTGTAAAATTTGTGTTTTTTCATTTTTTTCACTTTTTTAATGTGTAAATAGGTCCATTGATACCACCAATGTATGTGGATGAAGTACGAAAATGTTTAAATCGTTTAGCAAATGGTGAACAAACACAATCATCATCATCATCGTTATAATTTTTCAAATTTTGATCATTTATAAGCCCATTTTCAAACATTACCTTATCATGAAACTTTGTTTTTTTCTTCTTCTTCATTTTGATTCAGCTCATCATCATTATCATCGAATACACCCTCACATTATTTTATTATTTCATTTTCTATTTTTCATACATATATAGTGTGATTATTGATCTAATACCCGGGGCCAAAAAAAAAACAAAAAATAAAATGAACCCGGGCTAACTAGTCCCATAATAACCGTATATCATATCCATACATTTATAATTACATTACATACATAATTAAATTTGATGATGATTCCACACCAATTTAGGTTGATCCAAATTTTTATTTTCTCTACTACCTGATATATATATATAAAAACTAATTAAGATCAGATTTATCAATCAAAATTGAAATTATTTTTTCAAATTATAAAAAATTTGTTATTTTATCGTTTTTTTTTTTAATTGTTGAATTTTGATGGAAATGAAAATGAAAAACGAATATAAAATTTAAAAAAAAGAAAAAAATTTTTCTCTCAAAAAAATCTTTTGTTGTTGTTTGTCTGAATATCATAATTCAATGCTACTACCACTACTACTTACTCTTATTCTCACTTTACTTTATCAACAACAGCAGTAGCAGCAGCAGCATGGATTCTCTTTCGGAATATTTATCGGATCCTTTCTTTTCAATATACTACTTCTTTGTTGTTGTCTTGTTACCACTACACTGTTAATGGTAAGTAATGTATTTGTGGCGTCTGTATTATTATTATTTTATGGTTGGATATATATAAATATACGATGATGATGATGATGTTTATTATGATTCGAATTCATTTTTTTTTCTCGTATAATAATCTTTATTATTATTGAATTGATAAGTAGTAGTCATCATCAAATAATAATCGGTTGTAGTGGCTCTGTGTGTATGTCCAGGTGATGTTGGTTTATTCTTTTTTTCATTTTTTTTTTTTGCTTTCTAAAATTTTTCTTCTGATGCTGTTTGTTATTGTTCCAAACATAATGTATGTGTGTGTGTGTGTGTTTGTTTGTTCACAACTATAGATAAATTCAGTTGGGTGTGTGTGTTTTTCTATGTTTATGCGGCGAGTATTCGATTCTTTCATTCAGATCCTATTTTTTCAAATGATCATCAATAGACCGAAAGAAAAGAAAAGAATTCTACATCTACCATCGATTTCGGTGTTGATGTTATTATTCTGTGCATGTGCGTGTAACCGTTTGCTTATTTTGTGTACAGACCAAAACGACAAAAAAAAATCCCAGAATTCTGCTACGGTTTTCATCATTTCTACATCGACAACAACAACAACAACAAGAATCGCTTTTTGTACATCATCATCATATAGCTTTTTTCAATGAAAGTGGAAAAAAAATAAAAACACTACGAATCTCATTCAGGATTCCTGACTCGGCCATTCTTGTTTTTTTTTTTTTGCCTTGCCTTGCTTGTCTTTGTTTGGGTGTTTTGTGCAATATTAGTTCCTGAAAATTTAACTCATTGGATCAATTCTAGTGTTGAATTTCAACGTTTTCTTTCATCATCATCATCATCATCATCATTGAAAAGTTCAAAGTCGTTAAAATGTAATTGAATCTCATCTATCATGCCAGGTATGTGTCATTTGATTGGGAATTTTTTTTTTTTTAATTTTATTTAAAAATTTCAATTTTTTTTCATTTCGAAAGTAAATCAAGTTTTCTTTTTAGCTATTTTTATCCAAACATGAGCATTGAAAAGAAAAAATCATTTGACAATCCTTTATATTTTTTTTTGTTAAACGATTGCATCGAATCATTTCATCATTTGATTCGATATTTGGTACTAAATAAATTATCATGTGCTTGAAGGGATAATCTCGTCATCATTTCTTTTTTTGGATCTGGTTTTTTTTGTCCAATGATGAGATAATTGAAAATGGTAATCGGTTTCTAATAATAACATTTGTAAAAATTAATCAATAAATACGGCTCTACTTGTTTTAAGGCAGCTTGAATTTTCTTTGGAACTTTTTTTTTTGGTTATTTGCTAATTTCCCCATATGAAAATGGTAAAAAAAGATCAATTAATTGATTGTTTGATTGATTCATTCATTTTTTCTTTTGTTTTATCAGATACATATTGCCGTAATGAAAAGACAAATATAAAACGAATCTAATCTTATCTTATGGCAAATGGGAATTGAAAATAAAAAAAAATTGAATCGATCTATGACCTATTCAATTTTGATTGAATTTTCAATTCAAATAGGACAGGGATGGAAAATTCAAATTTGATTGTATTTGAATTGATGATGATGATAGGATTTTTGTATTTTTCATTTTTTTGTTGTTTGAAAATTCAGCAAACAAAAGAAAAAAAAATATTCCATAATTTGTGCTGTACACACATAGAATGAAATGGATCCTAAAAATAAAATAAAAATCAATGTGGATTCAAATCATAGAGATAATAATAATAACTAGGCAATCACATCATTGTCATTATTAAATTCGTTTTTTTCCACCACCATCACCACCACGGCCATCGCCACAATCGATTGATTCATGTTTATTCAGGCTTGGAATTTGTTTATCGATCGTTATTTTTTTTTTTTGTTTGCTTGTCTTTTTTTTTTCATCTTTTTTCGATTCAATTCTTTGGGATTCGTTTCGATCCAATCCAGTTTTTTTTCGTTGGATCGTATTCTCACTCTGTTTGAGCCTTGAACATCATCAATCAATGATGATGATGATGATGTTTTCAGCAGAATTTTTTTTTATCTCATTGTTTTTCCATCTCTCTCTCTCTCTCTCTCTCTCTCTCTCTCTGTTTCACTCTTTTGGGTTGCTAAAAAAGATGACCTAAATTGTTGTTTTTTTTTATTTTTCACAAATAACGTATCGTTGACAATCGATTATGTGTGTGTGTGGGTGTGTGAAAATGTGTGGGTGTGCGTGTTTATATAAATAGAGAGAGAGAGAACATACACCCATCTTTTTTTGTTTTATCTTTCACATCACGATTAAATATTGATGATGAATTATGATTGTTTGTTTTGTTTTGTTGTTGTTGTTGTTGTTGTTGTTGATGTTTGAATTTCATTTTCAATCATCAAATTTTTCCATATCAATATATACTTGACACATTTGTTCAAATTTTCATGTGTATGTGTCTCTTTTTCATCACGATCATCATCACTCAATTCATTTAATGTTGATCTAGATATTTCGTTTTTTTTGTTATTGTTGTTGTTGTTGTTGGTTGTTTCTTTTTCTTTACTTTGATTTTTTTTTCTTCACTTGAACATTCGATGTTATTTTTTTTTGTTATTTTTGGCAAATTTATTGTTTTGAAATTCGTGATAAATTATACAAGTAGTTTTTATATGATGACGGATGATATGTTTTACATTTGTGTTTGTGTGTGTGTGTGTGTGTGTGTGTCTGTGTACCAAAACAGCAATGTTAAAATATATAACATTATTATCCACTTAAATAGCCAAATAGTAATACTGATGATGATGATGATACGATGATATCGATTAATGATAATTATGATACCACAATGAATGAATGATGATCATCATCATTTTCATCTTTTTATTGTATCTTTTAATGGTTTTAAATAAGTGGAAAAAGAAAATTGTCTGAATAAGACCACAATGTCCATTTTTATTTTCTATTTTTTTTTTTTATTTTCAGACACATTGTCCAATACATGAACACTGTGTTTTTCCACTGTTGTCCAATTTGATCGATTCATTCATTCTATTCATTGTTATTTAAACCTAAATTGTATTTGAAACCGAAAACTTTCAACTCTCCCCTCACACACACACACACACACATTCATTCCGATTAAGTTTTCTAAAAAATTTTTCAGTATCATTGATCATTATCATCGGACATCATTTTTTTTTATCTAGTCTTCTTCCATTATCGTTAGATGTTTATAATAATGATGATGATGATGATGATGATAATGGTTAATAGTTGAACTATCATATCTATCTATCCTAGATGAAAATCATTTGTTTGGAAAATGGTCTTTTATTTTCTGAATGGCAGCCATGCAGCAGCAGCAGCAACAGCAGCAGTAAATGATGATGAAATTGTACAAACAAGATTGATTGTTGCTTGTTATTCATCTCATCTTTCATTTACACTGATAATTGTTATGGATAAATTTTTTTCTTCTTATCTTTCGATGATGATTGACCCTCACCCACACACACACACACACACACAATGAAGATACAAACCATTTATAAATGAATGGATAGTTTTGCTTGTTTTGGTTGTTTCATTCATTCATTCATTCATTCATTGAATTCAATTCATCTTACGTTATTTTTTTCCAACTCATTTTGTTTGTTTAATCGTGATGTTTATTTTGTTGATTCAATGTGTTTGTGATCCCAATTTTTTAGGTCTTCAGGTTATTATTGTTTGACCTAATTTCTCTCATTCATCATCATCATCATCATCATGGTTCATTTATGTTTTAACAAGTCTCTACTCTTTTTTTTGAAAAAAAGGTTGGGGTCAATCTTTTCACCGGTACCTGACCATCTTTTTCACATTACATAAAGATTTCGCTCTTTTTTTACACTCAAACACACACACACACACATTTTGTGAAAACTAAATTTAGTAAAATCTACATATTTACCTAACCTAACCTAATCTTATCTATCTATCTATCATTTCATCACCAATCCTGACTGTTGATGATGATGATAATGATGGTCATCATTTATTCATTCATTCATTAATAATTTCGATTTCGCTATAAAAAAAAATTTTTTTTTTTTTTCAAATTTTTTTCCTATTATTATCATTTGTGTGGGTGTGTGTGTGTTTTTTATGGAACAAATGTAATTGAATTTTAGAATAAAAAAAATTGATCATATATGAACATTCATGTGAATGAAAAAAAACGAGTGGGAGTTGTAAATTTGTGTGTGTGGGCGTGTGTTGGTTGATTTTCTGTTATTATTATTATTATTCGGACAAGGGTGCACATTTCTCTTTTTTTTACAAATTTCCAA